AAGTGCCACGCCCGGTGGCCAGCGTCGAGGTACTCCCTGCACGAATTCAAGGCGATCTGTACGCCCGGCGAGCAGCACCGTGAGATGACCGTGAAGGTCAGCAACTGCACAGCGCGAAACTCCGCACGCAGGTCAGGGTAGTGCTCCTCCGGCGTCGCCACGGTGCCGCGGGCGAAGCCGATCAGCCCGGCCATCTACAGCTGGGGCTCGATGGCTTCCTTCCAGGTGAGGATGTCCGGTCGACCAACGAGTAGGGGGGTGACCGAGATCCTGTCCGGCGTGAACTTGAAGTAGCCGTAGCTCGGTGCTATCCCACCTGCAGTCACATGGGTCGCCGACATCGGCGTCATTCCGTTCCAACGTCCACCGACGTCGCCTTGCGAGGAGCCTGCAGCCGCCGACGACTGCATCCCTCGCGCCTGAACGCCGCCGAATTCATCGGCGTGAATCACTCCTCGCTGCCTCGACGTGCCTCCCGCATTGCTGCCGACTTGGCCACCACCGGCGTTGACGCCCACGTCGACGCCGCCCTCGGTGTTCACCGGTCGAGGAGAGGCAGGCCGAGAAGGGTGCTCCGTCGCCCACACGGTGCGGAGTCCAGCCTCGATGACTGCCCATGGGATTGCTCCGTACTCCTGGGCCTCATGGCGTCTCCTCGCATCCTCTAGCTGTGCCTCCAGGGTGTCCACCACCCCTGCATCACCTACGACGCCTACCATGGTGGCTACCGCACAGCTGCCGGCCTACAAACACGCAATAGGTAAGTGACCACTACGTCGACCTGACTGAAAGGTAAGTCGTGTGCCGTCCACGCTCACCGCACTATGCGGAGATACCTCGTTCAACGGGAGCTAGGCTACGGGCTAGGCATGGGGCAAGGGTGATCTATGCGTTCGTTCACTTAGTCGTTTACTCGTGCTTGCACTACTTGCTGGTTCACGGGGGGGATTTGGCAAGAGTTCCACTAGCAAAAGTTAACAACAATTGTTAATTCAACATTGGCAACACAGACTACATCAGAGCTAGCTAGCCTGCTGGTCGACCTCCAGCGCAGCGTGGTCGACCGCGATCCAGCGCAGCAGAGCTCGCACTGCTCCAGCGTTGCAGAGTAGCTGTTTGCCAACGTTGCAAGTCCACGGTGTGCCAACGCTGCAGCAAGTCGGCTGCACAGCGTTGCACCCGCAGGACAACGGTGCACGTGCTTCGCAGGTGCATGCAGCTGGTTGGTGCACCACTCCTTGTCACGTGCACAGCGCGGACGTCCAGGTCGAGTCCACGCCAGCGACTGCGCCTACCATCCACGTCGACCTTGGGATACCACTTCTGAGGTCGGCCTCGCAGCAACCACCCCGACGACCATCGCACACGTTGCCCGGGTAACTCGGTCGACGTCCGGACGCCCAGGTCGGCGTCCAGGCTCACAGGACGCCGTCCAGGCGCCCAGGTCGGCGTCCAGGCGCCCAGGACGCCGACCAGGCGCCCAGGGCGGCGTCCAGCCTCACAAGACGCCGTCCAGACGCCCATGATGGCGTCCTCCTGCTCGGCGCCCTCAAGCTAGGCGCCGTCCAGCTAGGCGCCCTCACTGCAACTGATCAGCTGCGCTCCCCTCGCACCCGACAACAAGGTCGGCTCCGCCCAAGCGAGGACGGGGCCAACCACAACTCCTGTTGACAGGACATGTCAATGATGCATGATTCGAGGCGCGTGAGGACCGCTTGCAACGACGCTGCATCTCGTTTCTCAACGGTGAGGCGAGCGAAAAACTCCGTTACGACCGTTCCATGCCGGAGGAAGGTGAGGTACACAATCATGTGGCGTCCGAGGCTAAGGAAGGGCTTGCAACGATGTGCTTCATCTGGCGCGCCTTCAGCCAGGTCACCATGGTCTCAACGAACTATTTGTATCTGTACTTGCCTCTCCAACAATATCTCCATCTCCATGTATTTTGCACTTTAAACACTTTGTTATCTCTTAGGGTTCCTGGCAACAATCAGCTCACTGCCTTTTTTCCTTTGAACATCAGCTCTGAAGACTTGCAGTCCTATAACGCCCTTCAATTGTGGTCATTCCTATCCTGTTCTCAGTCCATTCTTGTTCCCTTGCTATGCTCTCGTTGCTGTCATTTCTCTGTCCGGCCATTGTCAAGACATCAAAAGAACAAACGAGAAACACCTGATCTAACCACTACCCTCATCCCTTCTCCTCGTCTCTGCCCATATTTCAGAGCTCTGACTTGCAACCAGCAAACTAACTGTCATGTACTGCTCGTCAACGTAATTTTAGTCGATTTCCCACCGCTAGTGTTGCCCAGCGTCTGCTTTATACCTACTATCAGGTCATCATGTCATCAACTCATCTCATGTCCAGTATAACGCTCATCAGTATGTCTTTTGTGTAACGCCCGTTATCCGATCTTCGTCACTCATCAGCTTGTCTTATGTGCTATAATCAAATTGTCTGGTCATCATTTTCTACTTTGTCCCTCCTCCCTTCCAAAGATACGCAGGTGCAAAAAGAAAGAAAGAAAAAAAACATGTCTGTTTCTCCTGCCCATCTGTGTCTTTAACAAAGATTGGAGGGGTTTGCAACGTAATCTTCTTGATGGAACAGCTCCAGATACCTTTGGTGACACTTCTCAACAACTGCAACACAAAGAATATCCGACTGACACAAATATGAACCCATGATACGTGCGAAAAGTCAAATAACACTCTGAATATATCGAACCGGGAGTATTCGACCCTCTTCTAGAGGGTTCGGGACGATTTCACCAGCCTGGCAGCGCATGACTCTGTGATTGGGCCGCAAGGCAAGTTCCAAGTCAGCGCTGGCAGGTTCGATGGTTCTGGACGTAAGTGTGTGGTGGAAATGCGCATCGCGGCGGGTTTCTGGCGTTTTTTCATGCACGATGCACGTGAACATGATTCGGGTGTGTTCGCCTTATTGAGAGCTTCAATTTGGTATAATAAAAAAACATATTTCATTATTAACGTATTACAGGCGCATTCGCTTATTATAGTCGCACCTACGCTCATGTCCGGGGTATGACGGTACCCTAATTGAAGACACCCCTGTCTTCAATTCGACCCTATATTTTATCCGGGTGATGACGGTATGCAAGCGCCAAGGAAAGTATAATGCGCCACTAGAGCAAGTTTCTTTAGCTTGGCATGACGTGTATGTAAAGAATTGTTACTCCAGAAAGGTGAAATTTGACTTCAACTTCCCGTTCTATAGGTTACAAAAGAAGGAAGGCTGGTTGGGACAGGAAGCTAGATTGGCACACAAACGTGAAGGTAATATTGGTGATACAGAAAGCTAAAATCCAGGCACAGGGTATTCAATAACATACCAGCACTAATCGTGTCAGAGCATACGATAGGCAAAATCCCGATGATAAAAAATAGGCTACATGGCTAATATACTATGGCGTACATATAAGATCACCTAACTTATAAGTACAATTCTTGGCGTTATACGCGTTGAACTGCTCGTTACCCTTCTTGAAGTACTTTGCAATCACAACTGAACACGACGAGCCCGGATCCACTCGAGTCTTGTTGCCAATTTTGCAGGCGCCTTTTGTGAAGGACCAATACTCTGCCCTGATACAAATCTGGCACAAGAAGCAAAGCGTACAAACTTTACAGGTGAAACTTGGCAACAAATGAAGAATAGAGCTCATGGCAAAATGCTTTTGGATGAAGACGTTGTAGTGCCACAACCGATGAACTTGATCACTCCATGGAACATATAGTAGAAGGACTGTTACTTGTGCAGATTGTGAGATGAGGGCCTGTTTCTAAAGTGAACGCGGATGCTGACAGGTGTGTGCTTATAATTGAATACCAGGCGTGGGCACATTCGTCCTTGTATACGCGCACGCACTTAAAGAAGGGTGCCCTTATATCAAAACAAATCACGCGTAATGGATTCCGGGAATCCGGGAATCCATTACGCTTAAGAAGAACATGCTGCACCTCTGAACCCTTACCTGCACTTTAGTCCCGCTAGGGATTGTCTTGGAGCAGGTGAGGCCGGGATTGCTGCGGTAGAGCTCAGCCCAGTTTGTTCCATTTATCTTGGCACCCGGTTCCACGGTGGCCCTCTGAAGCAGCACCTCACACGTGTCTTGAGATGTCATGGTGCCGTATCTCGCACAATCGAAAACGTTGTAGGCAAAATAAGCGCTGCGCTCGATGCACACAGACAGACCCGCCTTTAGGCCACTTGACGAACAATCAAGGCCGGGGTTGAGAATGGCCAGATTGATTTCACCAACTGCTTGGTGATGGATGAACAGGTGTCACCCTGCAGGGTTGAAAATGGCATGGAAGAGTGCACATGATGAGAGAATGCCAGCATGGTAACACTAGATTGAAATGGTGCTTCTATGGCTAGCCAGATTCGTTAAGACCATGCTGTGGTGAAATCAAGAGGCAAACGGATCAGACCTTGAGCGCGTAGAAGAAGGCAGTGCAAGGCGTGTCAGGCGTACCACCAAGCTGAATAGCAGTGCCCTTCAGCAATGGCTGGCTGCAGATCCCCTGCTTTGTAAAAAGAAATGCATGAAGGGTGGGGTGAGTGCGAGGTTGTGGCCATAAACCTTGCACACCAATACAGGACATTTGCAATCTTTCAGGTGAAGATTTGCGTTCTTTAAACAGCTGATGAACACAAGCAGGAACATATTGTGGTTAACTCAAACTTCAACGTTTTCAGTAATACGAGTGCCCATATTGTGGTTCTCACCGGATTGTTAGCATAGAAAGTGTCCATGGAGATGCCAACAATCTGATACACATCTGAACACTGCCAGTGGTCTCCACTAACTGTCATGCTGGTGGCTGTGGTGTCCGCTGTAGGTAGTAAGTAGAGCGAGGCAAAGGCAACAAGCAAAGAGAGAAAGGGAGGCAAGGTTTGGAAAAAATCATCCCACTTTCGCCTTGCTATACCGGACATTCCAACCATGACAACTTGAAAGAATGAAATCCAACAACCTAGATGGTTGAAGCATCACCTGGTTCACAGGTGGGGAAGCCGTAATTTGTAGCTCTTTCAATGTGGCTGGAAGGGCAGATGCAGGAGTAGGAGCCCTTGAGATCGTTGATGCACGTGCCAACGTAGCAGGGGTTCTTGAAGTACGACCCACACACGTCGACTGCCACAGTTCGTGCACAGAGTGAAGAGTGGAAAAGACCGGGCCATGAGGGACATGACGAAGTTTGAACCATGAGATTAGGACACGCTAGATAAAAGGAAAGATCAAGTTGGAGAGAGAGGGAGGAAGAGCGAGATGGAGGGCGAGAGGGAGGGTGAAAGAGAGGAAGAGGGCCAAAGTAGGAGAGAGAGCATGAGAAGAGAGAGAGAGAGAGAGAGAGAGAGAGAGAGAGAGAGAGAGAGAGAGAGAGAGAGAGAGAGAGAGGATTAGCCTCTCCCCTTCTACCCTCTGCCCTCTGCTTTCTGCCCTCTGCCATGAGTACTTAAGGCCACGGCAGCCTCTCCATCTCTCATTCTTCAGTTAGTGCTGAAAATTTCGGCGCTCTCGCGTGCGCGGCCTTCGGCCGCGCGTTAGGGATGGCAAGGCAAGCAAGATCACCTAGCAAGCCGACGATGGAACGGGTCTACACGCGCAAGGGGGGAGCACCTACATGCGGTCCGCGTCTACCGCAGCGAGCATTCCGCTCGTGTTCAACCACAACTGGCGGACCACTAACACGGTGGCACCTACAACGTCAACAGGAGTACCAGGACCTGCTACAAGCGTCCTCAGAGCCAGGGCCGAGTCAGCCAGCTGGCTGGCCGAGGTTGCTCCCGGCGAGGGCTCTACCTGCAGTGGCGTTACGAGCGCGAATAGCGCTGACGCCGCCGCATGACAATCAGCTCGCGGTTTCTGAGAGAACCTGCTCGGAGGGCTCACCGGCATGGAGTCATATGACTCCTGGAGAATCCGCTCAAGGCCCTGGAGGGACGCCGCCAGCGACCATAGGCGGGCCAGGGTCGCCATGGTAACTTTCTTCATCGGTGGAGGAAACGCAGACGTGCGGGCACGGTGAGATGACAAGGCGAGATCGCGCGGAGCAGGAAGAGGACACGGCGGAGCAAATTGAGCCCACGGCGGCCCACCACCAGCGCCTACGAAGCCCATCCCCGCAGGCAGCGGCCGCTCTGAGCGCGCCGGGGATCCAAAAGGATTGTGGGGCAGGAGCGCGGAGAGAGGGACGACGGGAACAGCGCGAGGAGCTGATGGTGACGCCGACCCCGCACGCGAGCGACGAAGCTCCTTCTCCACGTCATCAAGCCTATCCAAAAGTCGGCGCTCCACTGCGGACGGCGCTGGACGCGCGTTTCCGCCGAGACCATAACCTCCCCGTCGCCCACGACGCGCACGCCCACTTGCGTTCGAGCGCACAGGCGACTGCGGGCGAGATGGGCCTTGCTGACGCTGGCGGCCAGAGGAACGGTCCCCGCGACGAGGAGAGCAGAGCCGCTGGCGCTTAGCAGGAGGGGGCGAACGCGGAGCTGGGGGCCCATGGCCAGATGTCTGGCGGGCGGGCGATCGCTGACGAGATGAACGGTGAGCGGGCGAACGATGACGATGCGAGCGGCGGTCACGGGACCGGCTCCGCGATGCCGCGCGACGAGGCGAACGAGCCACACCGTGACGATCGTCGCGGCGGCTCTCCCGCTTATCGTCGCGAGCTGCCGATGAACGACGGCGAGGCGAACGCTCCGGGTGCGCCACAGCCTCTGCGCCGGAGCGCGCGACGGGCACCGCGCGCAGGGGCTCCCGCGGTGACGAGGACCTGCCCCCGCGCGGAGCCAACTCGCGCCGCTGATTCTCGAAGCGGCGGCGAATCTGATCAGCGGACGCCGGCGGAGCAACAGGCACGCTCGCAGCAGGGCGCGCAGGAGGAAGCGGACGGGGAGCAGGATCGCTCTCCGCGGTGCAGTCACGGCCCAGAGCGCCAAGGAAATCCATTGGCTAGCGCTCAGGGCGCTCCACTGACACAAGAGGAGCCGACGACGCCGATCTCCCAGGCGCAACAGGCGGCACCTGTGGCAGCCACTCCGAGGAGCGGACGGGGAAGCACGCGGGGGAGAGGCGGGCGTCGAGGAGCGCGCGGAGGTCAGCGGAGTGCAGGGCAAGCGGCGAGGGGGAATCCGTGCCAACTACCGAGCCCAATCTGGTTGGGGGAGCCGGCGGAGCGAGTCACGCGCCAGTCGTTCGCTAGACGCGGGGGGAGAGGAGGAACGACAGTGCAAGCAGTGAGAATCGGTGATACAAACGCAGAGGGGAGCGACGACGAATATGTACCGTCAGATCTGAGGCAACCTGACAACCCCGACTCACCTCTCGCGGAAGCGGGGGAGGAGCAGGCGCAGCAGCAGGAGAGAGGTTCTCGCCGCCGACAGAACCGCAGACCCCAACCCCCTCCAGACCAAGCCCTGTCAGCGTCCCAGCTGGCATCGAGGGAGGATCTCTTTGAGATCGCGATGAGCTGGGACCCTTCAACCCTAACGGCGACCACTCACCTGCCTATCGTCCGCCGCCTGCCGCCGCAGATACTAAGCGACTACTCCACCTGTATGCTGGCCGCCCTCTTACGGATCACTAAACTGCCAAACTGCGCGGGAGCATGGCGGGTCCTCATGTTCCTGCCACGTCTCACCTTACGACTTAGCAGGAGGTCCAGCTCTAGGTGGAAGGTGCTACGAGAACAGATGCACCTATTCAGATGTGGCCACTGGAACCAGCTGTACAGTGACTACGTGGGGTCCCTGCACCAAGCTGAGCCACCTCAGCACCAAAATGACCCCCTGGGAATCTGCTCACGTGTGGAGGGGTTGGTGAAACGGGGTAACCTGCGAAAAGCGTTGGCAGCCCTTCAACCCTCGCCAGCTGCCCCTGCGACGATCGCAACATTGCAGCAGTTGGAATTGAAACACCCCCAACCCCAAATTGAGCTGCCCGACTGGGTCCACAACTACACAACACCCACGCAATTCTCGTGCACCGCGGAACGCTTTTCAGACGTCCTCGGGGAATGCCCCAGCGGAGTTGGGGCTGGTCCATCAGGGTCAACATTTGAACACTACCGCGACCCAGCCCTAAGTAACATCGAAGTGCTGGGGCACCTGCACTCCGCCGTAACACACCTTCTTTCGACGAATCTCTCCACCGAGGTTGCAGCACTACTCTCGCCATCCCGCCTCATCGCCTTCGCGAAACCAGGGGGGGGGGTACGCCCTATCGCGATAGGGGAGTCCCTGCTTCGGCTAGCAGCAAAGGTGGCACTTTCGGAACTGCAAGGAGAAACAAGGCGATTTTTCTTACCCCAGCAATTCGGCGTGGCAGTCCCAGGCGGAGCCGAGTTCGTTATACACGCCGTCAGAGACCTCACCACTTCACAACCCTCCAGCCTAGTCCTCCAACTCGACATTGAAAACGCTTTCAACTCCGTAGAGAGGAAAGCGTTCTTCAACGCACTCACCAACACCCCGTTAGCACCGCTCATACCTTTCACCCGCTCCTTCTACGCAACGCCTTCACAGCTGCTGACCGATCCCCGCTTGAGCACAACGGCACTCACCAGCGGAAGGGGAGTTAGGCAGGGGGACCCCCTCGGACCCCTGCTGTTCGCGGCATCAATCCAGCAGCACCTCAGACGCACAGCAGCAGAACACCCAGAAGTCACGATCCTAGCGTACGCAGATGACATCACCATGATCGGACCGGCGACAGCAACGCTCGGCGCGCTAAGGTTGCTGACGCCGCTGCTAGCCCAGGATGGACTCACCTGCAACCTCAGAAAGTCGTCGGCGTGGTCCACGACGCCGCTTGACGGCGACGAGCTCCCAGAGGGCCTCCCCCTGACCCACGAGGGGGTACGGGTGCTGGGAAGCCCTGTGGGGTCACAGCGCTTCTGCTCTGACCTAGTCCGCAGCACTCTGACAGACGCGGCGGCACCCCTAGGCTCCCTAGCATCCATCCATCCACAGCATGCCCTCCTGCTATTGTCCCGCTGCATCAGCCGCAGAATCGGCTACCTGCTGCGCACCACCCCAGCAGATGTCCTACCCCTCTCGGAATGGCACGCGTGGTGCGCGGAACTGCTCAACACCGCCTTGACTGCCGCCAGCATTCAACCACCCCGCCGCGAAGCCGAGTTCAATTTCCTCATCCGCCAAGCAACCCTCCCAGTAGCCCTAGGCGGACTGGGCCTCACGGACCCCACAACAGAAGCAGCTCCGGCCTACCTGGCCTCAACGACAGAGGCGCTACGCCTGCTCCGCTCACTTGACCTACCAGCAACCGCGGCGCTGGGGAGCAACAGCAACGCCCTGCAGCCGTCTGCAGCACACTCGGTCACCATCCAAGATATGGAGAGATGACTGCCGCCGCTGGCGCTGCAACACCTCCGTGAGGAGCAAGAAACCCCGTCCCAAGACCAGCTTCAGCGCGTCCTCTCTCAGGAGGTGCACGCGGCAAAGGCCGACGCCCTGACAGAGGAATCACGCTCAATCAGGTCAGCCCCCGAGATGGGCCACACGCTCCGCCTCGTCAGCCTGAGAGGCGAGGGAGCGGGAGCATGGCTGCAAGCCCTACCCCTGTCACCAGACCTCTGCTTCTCACCAGGGCAATTCCGAACAGCCCTGGCCTTCCGCATGGGCATCCGACAGAATGTACCTACCGTGTGCGAGTGTGGAGAGCTCGTGGCCGACTGCAGCCTACCCAACCACTTACTCCGCTGCAGCACAGGCCCGGACAGAACGCGCACACACAACCAGCTGGCCTTCGCCGTGGCTAAAATGGCGAGGGAGGCGCAGCTGGTGGTATACCTGGAGAATGCAATGTACTCACCGCCGGATGACCCGAAGAAGGCAGATGTGATTGTACGGGACCCGGACAGTGGAGAGACTTGGATCACAGACACTACTATCACTGACCCTGTGCTGCAGAACCGAGACCCGACAGCCCGCAAACCCCCAGGCTGGGCTGCAAGGGAGGCACAGAGGCGGAAGGAGAGGGACTACTACAGGCACACCGAACACGTGGTGTTCTGCGCCCTGGCCGTCGAGACCTACGGGGCAAACGCGCCCCCCACGACATCGTTCCTTAAGCTGCTGGCCACAGCAGCGGCTAGGAACAGGTTCAGGGCCAACCCCTTGGCCAAATCGGCCAAGAAGATGGCCTGCCACTTCAGCCAACGCTGGTCAGTGGCCCTCCAGCGCTCCCAGGCGAATGCCCTGCACACCAAGGCCAGGGCTGGGATTGAGGCAGCGCACCCCCAGATGGCAGCGGACCCATGGCCGCTGCACCTAGGGGACATCCTCCACACGCTGGAGGGGTAGAGGGGCACTAAGGGGGGGGGGGGGGGAGAGGGTCAGAGGGATGGGTTAATGGGTCGGAAGGTCTAAGGGAACCACGAGTCACAATGCATGTATGTACCCCCTGCTGAATTAATACAAAGGACCATTTGAGAGAGAGAGAGAGAGAAAGAGAGAGAGAGAGAGAGAGAGAGAGAGAGAGAGAGAGAGGTTTGCTTCCTTTGGGGGGGTTGGGAGGGGTTGTAGGATGTTCTTAGGATCTGGTTTGCTGCTAGGCTGTTTTTAGTCTCTAGTGTTGCCTGTTTCTATGCTGCCTTGGTTGTTTGTACTCACCCGTTATATCAATACAAGGACCGCTTGAGAGAGAGAGAGAGAGAGAGAGAGAGAGAGAGAGAGAGAGAGAGAGAGAGAGAGAGAGAGAGAAACCCCATCCATTAGACTTCACTGCCCTCAGTCCTCAGTGCTCAACCCCTTGCCATGGGAAAAAAATAGCCCTAAGATCCTTCCCAGACCTCATTTATTCGTTCCTTTTCCAAAAACGGCGGTGCGAGAGAGCGAGAGAAACCCCTGCCCTTTGAATTCACTGCCCTCAGCCCTGAGCCCCCTGCCATGGGTTTATTTAGCCCTGGGATCCTTCCCAGAGCTCATTAATTCATTCCTTTTCCAATAACGGCGGAACGGGAAGGCAAGCGACTGAGAGAAACGAGGAGAGCGACGCTAGTTATAGACCCGAGGGGGAAGCGGTTCCCTCACCTCCTGAATCACCCGCCCCACCAACAAGGAACCCCACTCAAGTACCGTCGACCCACAGGTGGCACCAACAGGCAGACACGTGGCGAGCAGCCACCCCCCGACCAAGCCCAGTCAAAGCCCGCCACATCCTCCGCGCCGAGCGCGAGACACGCTCCCAGGACTACAGTGCTGCCTCTCCACAGAGGTGCATGCACACTTGGCCGAGGTGCTGCTGGAGGACTCCCTGACGTCGGACACACCCTCCGCCTGACCAGCCTGTGTGGGGAAGGAGCTGGGGACTGGCTGCACGCCCTCCCCCTCACACCCGACCTCACACTCTCACACCCTGCACGACAGGTTCACCCGTTAGTTGCCATGGCCCCTCTGACCCCACTGCTGCACCTTATGCAAAACCCTGGGTCCATACCTGTGTGGTGGCTGTAACTTTTGGTCACCCGCCTTACTCTTCGCCTGCAGTCATCGTCAAACACCACATGCACATTCCATTCACTGAAGACTCGGATCTCCTTTACCAGGAAGCCTTCCACACGAATAATTTGCTGCCACCAGCACGCCTCCAACCTGACGCGATTGGAAATATTGCGCGGGGATAAGGCCTGACATAGCAAGATAGCCTTTAGAGAGCAATAATGGCGGTTTCCCCTGCAAGATTCTGAGCTAACGGCAGTGGTCTTGGTAGCACTGCAAGCCAAGCACGGTGCCACTTTTGCATAACGGGACGCGGAGAAGCTGCTTTGCAGGCGTGAGAGTGGGGCTGGCACAGGGCCATCAGGCATGATGTTTGAGAAACTGCACGATGCGGCCCTAAAGAACGCAGCCGTCAGCACTCACCACCACACGCCTTACAACATCGATTGCGATATGTGAATACCTCTTGCGCCTCGCTGTGAAGTCGGC